GCAGAGCATTGCCCAATGCGCCTGCCAATACGCCCTGCGGCATTAGAGACGACTGTTCGCTAGACTGCATGCCACCTCCCACGCTGCCGCCATGTGTGGTGGGTGTGCCGCTTAACGAATAACTGGCCTCCGAGGTGGGCGTTGAGTCGCCGCTGATGTCCATATCAGCATTATCGTTATGTCGACCTGCATAAGAATTATGTGAATATGGTAGAGCAACTATTAAACGTGCTGCAGATGCTGCTTACCATCCAAACGCCTTCGATGGCTGGGCGGGCCGCCATCGTTGTCATAATTCCATCTCAGTCGTGAATTGTCGCGCGAAGAATTGGAATGTTTGTATGCTGTGAATGGAGAAGCGTGTCAATTGTTATCATTATTCTCGTCGACTTCTGCAGACCGCTAGAAACTTACTCGATCTTGAAAAGCGATCATCGCGATCTCGGTCCCGATCCTTATCGCGATAGTCCTTCTCACGATGCTGATCACGCGGCAAATTTCTAAAGTGCATTAAAAACAATTTTAGCAGAGATTCTGTATATGTGTGTAGATAACCCTTGAATAAGTTCAGGAATAACATGTAAGAGCGACTATCCTGGGAACGTCGGAGACTAAGAACCCTTGTATAACAGTGATTTATGGTTTTGCAGATATGTGAGATACCTAGTAAAGCCCACAATTACTAAGTTAGCTAAAGATAAGATCTAATGAAAACAGGAACTTAGTTTTCGACCGATATGATATATGAGCTAGTGGTCCGATCATACATATGAACTGCCTGCAACGAAAAGACAGAGCTAGGCCAACTAAGACTATATATACTTTATGCTGTCGTCATTAAAATATTATGGAGCAGAACTAGGAACTAAATATATATAGTAATTTCTGGCTGTCTATTTAATACTGATAAGTGTTTTAGTCCTAAAGCTATCTTGATAACAACTTGGCCTGAATTTGTCGCAAGCACTTTTTATGTCAGAATCAACAACGGAATTGAATTGGACCAACTGTATCGTATAGCTGGTAAAGGAAATATTTGTCGAAAACAGTTTTTCTATAAAAGGAAATTGAATTCAAATTTGTTGTTGTCCCGAACATAAATATGATCCCTACAAGGCCAATCAATATCGACTATTATATCAAATAGATTTTAAATGAATTGATTGATTATTGAGAATTAAACTTCGATGTGGCTAGGAATAGAAATATGTCGACATGCAAAAGAGTATTTAATTTACGAGTCCCAGGAGATAGTTGCTCTACTTTGAATATTCGATGTGTACGCTATTCCATAAACAGTTTGGTTTGTTATTCGAGGTATATTTGACTGGGATTTTATACCTTTCTCTATCTACCCATTCCTTAGGCTTCTCCCACTGGGAGACTTCAGTTTTGCAGTTGTAGTAATACATTTTGCCTGTGAGTAAACAAGTTGGTTAGTAAAATAGAATTATGGTTTAAGGCCAACTGAGACACTTACCAGAAGAGCTGACATGCTCGCTCCAGTCGCCATAGCGCGCCACACGCTCGCCGCGATCACTGCGCTCGCGTTTGTCTGAGGAAGAGTAGATAGAAGTGAGCACAGGTGGGATAATGATTGAATTATATAGAGAGTTTTTGCGACTACACACACACACACACACACACACGTACACACCTGCATATTTGTCCTTCTTGTACATGTCCCGATCGCGATCGGCGCCCCTGTCACGCTTATCACGCAAGTCGCGCTCGCGCTCACGATCCCGATCGTCGGAGCCGGAGCGCTTGTCGTTTTCGCGCGATGAGCAAAGCTTAGCGCCGCCGCCACCACGACGATCCCTGTCGTGATTTGTGCGATACGATGAGTCCGAGTCGCGATCATTACCGCGCCGATCACGTTTATCTGCAATGGGAAAAGTTATTGGAATAAGTATTGGGAGTACAAATGTGATAATTGTTGGTATTACAGCTACCGGAATATTTGTCCTTTTTGTAGATATCGCGATCCCGATCACGCATCTTTTGTATGAAACTGTAGCGCTCGTTGCTACCACCACCGCCGCCCCCGCCGCCGCCGCCTCCACCACTGCGATGATCGGTGCGCTCGCGCAGATCATGCGAGCGCGATGATGGCGAATCTATGTCCGGTGATTGTGAGCGATAGCTGTTGCCATTATTCAATGGGCCGCCACCACCGCTGCCGCCTCCTCCACCGCCTCCGCCTCCGCCGGCACCAGCACCGCCAGGCGAAAGGTCGCGATCGCGATAGTTGGAGGAACGATCGCGTTCATAGTCGCGCTTTGAACTGCTGTACTTTGAGCTCTGTCGAAGAAGATATTTGTGAGGTTTTAGGAATTGCATTAATATAAAACAAACACACACAATTTGCAGATGATTATTGTTCTTGTTGTTGTTTATGTTGATTCGTTATTTATAAACATTATAGTTATTATCATTAACATGTTATTGTTACCAATGTTTGAGGGGAGAGAGTGGGGCGGGGGGTCGGACGGGGTGGTCGGTCATTAGTAAAAACTAAAGCTACGAAATATAAACAAAAAGTATATCTACAATGATATGTTTTACTATAAAATGTTTCTTGCCAATAGGTGTTCTTGTCTTTTTGTTAATGTTTCTCTATTGTTATTGTTGTTGTTGTTGTTATTTTCGGACTGTGCAGTTCCAGGTATTAATTTTGAATTTTCATATTTTTGGTTTGTTGTGCGTGTGTGCATGTGTGCGTGTGTGCGTGTGTTCTTGTGTGAGTGTTTATGTTTGCTGTTAGTGATTTGAGAGAGGGTTGGGAGCTTGTGGGCGACACGAAACGAACACAAAACGAACATAAAACACGAAAGCAATCAAAACGTAAACTGAATTTTGTTTTTTCTTTTGTTTTTGTTTTTTCTTTTGTTTTGTTTCTTGAGCACGTTGCAGGTTGTTGCTCTATGTGCGTGCGTGTGTGTGTGTGTGTGTGTGTGCGTGTGTGTGTGCGTGTGTGTGTGTGTATGTTGATTATTGTTTTTTTTTTTTCAATGTTTTTGTTGTTGCTCAATTTGATTCATTTGCTTTTGTTTCATTTATTTAGTTTATGCAGTGGCTGCCGCTTTTTAAATGCAATTTTCCTTTTACTTTTCAGTTTTCTCTAATGTTTTTTGTCTGATTGATTCTTTCTGCTTCTTGATTGTTGCTGCTGGAACTACTTACATCAACGCGACAAATTCCGATGGCTGCCGCGGCTGTGGCTGCTGCTGCTGCTGCAATTTTAATGCTGTGGCTGCTGCTGCAGATGATGTTGTTGTTGTTGTTGTTGTTGCTGCTGCTGTTGTTGTTGCTGCTGTTAGTCAGCATTGACAAATCAACGGCCATGTTGCTTCTGCTGCTGCTGCTGCCGCTCGTCATAGATGGCGTTGGCGTCGGCGTCGTGCTCGTCCTGCCGCGTGGCCGCGCCTTCCTCAGCTGCCGCCTCGTCGTTGTTGCTGTTGTTGTCGCCGGCTGCTGCAGCAGCAACACTTCAATATTGCTGAGGCACTGCAGTCTGAACGCGATGTATGTCTGCGAGTGTGTGTGGACGTGTGTGCGTGCGTTTATGTGTGTATAATTAGAATATCCTTTGCTTTATATCCTTTTCTCTCTCTCTTTTTTTTTGTTTGTTTTTTTCAATTGTTAATTATTTTTATGGCTTAGGCACGTTTGTGTTGTTGTTGTTGTTCGTTTGCGAGTTTTTGATTATTAAGGCTACGTTCGATTATGCGCAGTGTTGTTTTTGTGGTTGTTGTTGTTGCTTTCTTTTGCTTAATTAATAGTTAAGTTAATTGTTTATTGCTTTTGCTTTTTGGTCTTGCAATTGAATTTCGTTGAGGAAACTCCGTTTATTAAAAACTTTGCATTTAAATTTCTTTAATATTTAGAAATAATAAAATTGTTTGATATTCCTATAGCGATCTATTAAATATATATTCGTTTATATAATATTATGTTTCGTTTACGATTTGAACGCGTTTTGTGTACGTTTTTTAATTGCTTTTTCGATTCATTTCAAACGGTTTCTCGATTTCTTTATAGTTTTAAGTTGTTCGATTTTTGGCTTAAGTTGTGCGACTAAGAATTGCTTTGAGTTGTGGATCTCCAGTGTTTATGTTGCTTTATCCAAGTGTTACTCTAATTACGTGTACATTAGTTAGATCAGTTCGTTTGATTCGCTGCAATGCCGCGTGCCCAAAATGCGGAGTGGGTTGGAGAGGGTAACAAATGAAAGTTGCGTCAGTACTACATACAGACCAGACAGATACAGATACAGATACAGATGCATATATACATATACCTATATGTATGTACATATGTATATATGTCGAGTATGTCAAATTAATGAAGGCACACACACAAGCACACCTTATATATATGCACACATACACACACTAATTAACTGGATGAAGAATGGAATAATGCATACAATTATGGATCTATGGATATAGGGATCTATGGATTTGCACGCTTCTATAATACAAATTGACTATGGCATTAAACAATAAAGCGTATGGACTCTACATATGATATACACTCTTATATATACATATATGTATACATACATACATACATGATATATATATATATATATATATATATATATAGATAAATACGGAAGATAACAAAAAACGAGGATATTATTAGTACTAAAAGTTTTAGTGCGTCTGAGTAGAGGGGGCTTTTGGGGGGGAGGGCTCTAGTCTATAGACTGCCGGCGACGGTCAAGGCTCACCTGGTAGGATGTGTGACTGGTATGCTTCTCAAAGTACCTGCAAATCAAAAAGGAAACACAACATTTAATAAACATGTCTACAAGGAGGACGTTAAATACACGCAAAGGCGTTTAGTTAGTGCAAAGTACTTATTGCTGTATTATTAGTACATATTAAAATTAAGCTACTATTTATACTATGTATATACTTAAATGGCAAATGCGAGTGATGTAAGAAATGGCCAACAAATAAACAATAATCATGCAACTGAAAAGCAACAAGTAATGAAATCAACTAGTAGATATTTATTTGGTCTCGTTGTTAATGTAGTTTTGTTTGTTTTTTTTTTTCGTGTTTCATGTTTGTGTTTGTTTGTGTTTTGTCTGTTTCTCAGTTAACAATTAGTTATATATAGAGTTAGGAAATGATATTATGGATGGGGCTCAAGTTTCATGCGTTTAAATGGTATCGGCTGCTCATCATCATCGTTATCAATGTTATTGTTATTCTCTTCATAAACTTCATCGGAAAACATATATTCGACCCCCCCATTGTCCTCATCCACATTCTGTTCATCGTCTTCGGATAGATCATAGCATGGAAATGCCTCGGTGTGTGCTATTTTGCTGGATATCAACTTATTGTTGCTATCGTAAACACACTTGCAGACCGTATAAACAACTGTAAATGAAGGCTTAACCATGCGAATGGAACCAGGTGGTTCAATATTCCCCCCCTGTGACGAAGAATCGTTGTCATCCATTATGATGGGCTCTGGGTTCCGTAAGGCGAGTGCTGGATTCAATTGGGCAACCTCATCGGCCAGATCAATCGTAAGTGTGCACTTTTCCAGCTCATCCCCGATATTATCATAATCGCCCTCGGGCACCAGATCATAGATCCTATTATTGCACAGTAGCGCCAACTGTTGTGGAATATTCTCGTCAACAGCTGGACCATGCTGCTGGGCGACATCGTTACTCGGCTCGCTTAGGGTTTCGCTCCAATTGGAGCCGCGGCCCGAATCAGCCTCGGACTCGGAATCATTCCAACCATCATTCATATCCATTTTTCAGTTGTTATGGCTCTAATAGAAATGGAGAAATTCACAAATATTGCGTGTGTGCCGCTTTTTGCTAATCCAAATGATATTTTTCAAATATTTACCCACAAACAAAAACAAAATAAATATCTCAATTTTATGTGGTATGACTTGATTTTCCGTTGAAAGGCTACTGATTGGTTAGTCTGTTTCTTAGCCCAGAGGTTAACAACACATGCAGTGCGAGAATTTATATATATATATATGTATATATATAAAATTAAAAAAAAAATAAAATAATAATAACAACAACAACAACAAAAGGACGTCAAATTAATTCTAATGCAGAAGAGTTCAGGTCCTTTACGGGTCTCGCCTCCAATCAAATAGAATCGAGGCTGGACCGTTTTTCTTTTTGTAGTGCCGAAATGCAAGCGGTAAATGACAGAGATGACAGAGAGAGCGCCATACAGCTGAGCAATTGAGAGCGTGCGAGCGAGAGGCCAATAAGGTGTGGTGAATAACTTGACGTAGACGGCACACGAAAGACACAGCGAACGAACAAACGAACGTTTGGAGAATGAGCCAAAGCACGTTAAACGAGAGCAACGCAATGGAACAAAAACTACCAATCTAAATATTACAAGATGACAATATGCAATAAACATTAATGTTTTTCTTTCACTAAATCAGATGGCCAAATCACATACATATGTTTTATGCATACAGATACACATGCATACATACGCGTGTTTTTATTAGCGCCTGTTCACTATCACGATTTGCGGGGTGGGGACATACATGCAAATGTGTGGGGTATAGTATGCGTGTGTGTGTGTATGCGTATGCTGTGCAGCAAGCAGCAGAACGGAACGTGCGTACATATATGTATATGTAAACAAAAGTTGGCGTTTAAGTCTTTAGGGTTTTCCTACGTAGATATTGCATATAGATTTCATTTAACTACGGTGTAAGCAACTACAAGTTTATATATTTACATGCTAAGTTAGATATTGAGCGAAATGTTATTGCAAATTGTAATTTACCCATCGTTCATACGCTGCGGTTTTCTAGCATGCATTACCATCAATGCAAAGTTTTCGCCAATACGCTTCTCTTGTTATTGTTGTTGTTGATGTTTCTATTCAGTTCGGGGCTCCTGGCCGACGACGACGACGGCGACGACAGCAACGATATCAGGAGTCGGCAGTGGCATCAACTTGTGGACCCGCGCTGTTCCCTTTTGTTATCTTCAAGATAATGGCGGCAGCGCTACGTTGCCTGGCTGCCGGGCCTTTTTCCCTGTATATGCCTCACTTCTTCCGTTCCTGTGGCTCCTGCTCCACACGGCGGATGGCGCGGGTGTGTAGATTTGTGTGTGTGTGTTGTGGCGCTGCTGTTGCGTGTTTCACTGTATTTGCGGGCGTGCTTGTCTATATGTGTGTTGTGTGAGTGCGCGTGTGTGTGTGTGAATATGGGCTCTATCGCGGTCGCAGCAGTCGTTGGCAAGTGCCGTTTGCCGTTCGATGTTGCCTTCCTAAAAACACGGAAATGTGTTTGCAAACATCAGCATCTGGCCATTGCAAGATTCCCAATCAAATTTTCATGCCCACTCTGCGCTCGATTACTTTTCTTGGAAGCTGATCTGCGTTTCACGCCTTCAAAAGCGCTCGCGGCTTGCACTTTTTCACTGGAGAGTGTCTGTGTGTGTGCGTGCGTGTATGTCGGAGTATGTATGTATGTTAGTGTTGGTTGGTTGGTCGTCGTCGCTTCTTCGAATTTTTTGGCTATTTGCTGTTCTGTTTGACTGTTTATCTTACCGCAATATATTTGCCGCGTGCATTCACTTTCTTGTTAATGCAGCTAGCATGCGATACTTTGAATTATTAATCAAAAATATTTAAAATTCGCCCAACTGCTGCGTTTGCTTTTGGCCTCTATACTTGATGATTTTTTCAATTCTTTCACATTACGCTTTGTGCGCTCTTTCGTTCGTCGGCACGGCACGGCTGTGTTGAGTTTACAGCGTTAGTCCATATATTTATCTCGCTCTGTTCTATTGTATATTTATCTCAGTCTCTCCAGTTGCAAGTGGGTATGCTCAACTACCGGCCGTTTACAGCGCTAATATTGCAGTGTGGTGAAAGTCCAACTCTGTTATACTCGAAATGGCAACGTTATTACTCAATTGAACTTTTAACTCAGTAATTTCATTGGATGTTACATTAAGGCAAAGTCTCTAACATTGTTATGTAAACGCACTGTAAACTTTGTAAGCAAAAACCTTTGAAATATAATAATGATAGAAACAACAAATTGTACTTACACAATTTGGAATTTTAATTAGAAATGAAGCACAGAGCTGTTCAATTTTATCTCTCCATTTATTATCCGTGATGTACTAGCCAATGAAATATTGCCTATTTTAAAAACGCGCTTAAAGCATCGATACCGACTTAATATATTTCACCAAAGTATCGATAAGTATCGAGTTTGGGTCTATCGCTTATCGATTTACTACCAGCATCTCTGGTGTGTAGAATTGGGCTAAAGTCAGATATCAAAGCGCCCAATTAAATGCCGGCAGATATGCCCCACATTTCGGAGAACGATGTGAGTACACAGCCTAATGAAATATTTCTAAAAACATATCAGTGTGTATTCTTGAACATTTATAAATATTTATGCTTGCAGTTTATAAGAAATCACATTTTCCTAGCGCCTAACGGCGAATACAGGCGGCATTTGCTTCAGGTAAGTCCCGTTTGACACTCCGCGCTCCAACTTATCAATCATTTTCGCTTGCAGCTGTGCGAGCTTTGCGTGGAGCGCGAAAAGAAGGTGCTTCTGATGACCCAAAACCAAATGACTTTGCCCGGCACATTGAAAAAGCCGCGATCGCTAGTTCATATGGAACGCTGGATGAGCATTGCACTCAAGGACATTGAGAGCGCACCGCGCCGCATTATCGAGCTATACGATTGCCAACCGCGTCCTGATCTCATTATATTCGATATGCATTCGATTGTCGCCGAACTAATTGGCCGCCCAGTGCTGCAGCAGTGCTCCAGGAAGACACTGGTACGTCACGTAGCCAAGTGTGCCGCTGCCTTTTGCAATTATCTGGAAATGGTGCACGTGTCCAAACAGAAGCAGAATCGAAACGCTGTCGACGCCATCGTTGTCATGCCCACCGAGACATATCCATTGACACCGGCTCAATTCAAGCTGCTCATAGGACTTTACTTTAGCGGCAATGAGCTATATACGAACTTTTCCGCTCTCTCGGAACGCATACGCCTCTCCCAGGGCCTGCACTGAGAGATGATGTATATAGGTGTAAATAGTGCCTTTATATATAGTTAAATGTTAATGTTTAATTGTTAAATAATGGCCTCAGTTGCTGCCTTTGAAGTGTTTCAAGTTTCTCATTGATATAAGATCCTTACTTAATATATCAAGATTAGAGCAAACCATTGGATGATTATTATATATAAGTATATATTTGTAAAAGCAATATATAATTCACTATACTGTTCTTCATGCAATTAAGATTTAAGTGTTGAAAAAATTAAAAGCAGCATTTAAGTTAGATAAATATCAACTTTTTTTTTATTGTTTACGTTAAAGATAAAATAAGTTATATGCACTAAGTTTGTTTATAAATATTAAGACTAAAAATATCCAAAAATATTTATATAAAAAAAAAAAAAGAAAAAAAAATTACTACGATGTATTAAATGTATATCGTATTGAGTTATATAGCGTTGGTTTCGTCCTTAATTGTAAGAGCAGAAATGCGAATCTGATCGCAGCTAAAAGAAAAAAGGAACTAACATTTGAGTTTTGCTGCGCGCTTAAACGTGAACACTCGCATCCCCACCAACTGGCTCAGATGTAGTCCAGCATGCCGCTAACTATTTCAAAGGCATCCCGCGCTGTTGTCTCAATGGCGCCGCTGGGCAATAGATAGCCATGTACACCGTTATCCGCCAGCTGGAGCGTAAAGCTGAACGGTATGCCAATCTCATAGGCGGCAAAGGCATCAGCACAGCCTACGGAAGGACAATGGGCATGAGTAGCAAGAGTAAGTGCATCATTGAGATCAAACTTAGAGTGCATCTTTGACTACATACCCGAACGCTGCTCAATCAAATCATTGGCCGAGTCAACCTTGTAGCGCGCCTTGCTGCCCTTTTTGCGCAGCACATCGGTGCCCACCATGGCCACGTCCAGAAAGTCATCCATGCGCTCCGAATTGAAGGTGGAATTGGCCTTCACCGGATACGACAACACCTGTCCATAGGCCTGCAGTGATATATACAGCTGCAAAAGCAATGCACAAAATTGGATAAGTATCAGATTAGGCGATTCGTATTTGGCTGCCCATCCACGCACCTTGATCTGGGTGCGATAGTCCATCAGAAAGTCGGACACAGCTTTTGTTTCAGGCTCAGAAAAGGGCGACGGACCGGCATAAAATTCATTGCAGGGCGCCTTGGAGCTACCCCGTTTGCCCCACTGATACAGCCAGTTGCGGTCCAGGTCCACCCCATAACAAATCTTATCGCCATGACGCTTCTGCTGAAGCCACGTCATCGCCGAATCGAGCAGTCCAGCTGGTTGCTTAGCCACATGATGGGAACGTGACTTCTTCCAGAATCGATCGTAGTCATGACTATACACGTACCCATCCGGATTGAGCACTGGCATTATGTACCAGGTGGTGTTCCTTACAAACTCGTGCTCCTCATCGGACTCTGGAAAAACACGAAAACATAATAAATAAAGTGTAAATTCAATATCTAAGGAGTTCGTCGATTCCCATTATCATTCCTCATATCATAGAGAATGAATAATATGGTATATTTGAAAAAATTCAACAGCCTCTTTGTATCATTGTAGTATAAGTTGAGATATTTTTCTCACATAAATCTTTCGAAATTTATTAAATAGTTACATTATACCTTGGCTATATCCCCATTTTTATATATATGATATGACTTTATCAAACTTGGATAATAAAAAAGATAGAAATTCAGAACATGCTTAAAAAATGTTCCGTTCAAATTTTTTTGAAAGATTGTAGAGATTTATTGAGCTATCGATAAACCAATAAACAGAAAAAATCGATAATTATCGATTTCCAAATCAGTCATGATTCAGATAAGGCCTCTTATTAAAATATGAGATTTCGAATTTTAAGATAATTATGTAATTTTTATGTTGCTGATAACGGCCACAAAATCGATTAAAAACGATTTACAACCCATTTGTAATAAATAACATTCAGATATCGCCGAATATTAAAGCCAAACAGATCGAATTTTAAGAAAATTATCAGTTTTTTTCAAGATGCGAAGAACCTTCCTTAAATTGATAAAAAATCGATTTCGAAGTGGATCACTTAGTAACTAAAAACCTAAGACGAAGGAAATATTAGCTTCTTAAGATTTTTATGTATTGATTTATATTTAGTGGATAAATATATGTTCTGGAATTTTCTAATATACCCAGCATTCCTCCAATTATACTTATAAAAGATTGGAATAATTTTAAGTTGATAATTTTCAAAAATTCAGAGAATTTTTGAGAATTTTGCCCCATCTAAGTGGGTATGTCAGTCGGCTTTGATGGCCCCTGACTTCAGTTTCTACCCAAAATCTGTCAGTGCTAGTCTATAGTCAAAATTTTGTAAAAATTATTCACGTGTGAAATCCCGGCAAGCGTAGCGCAATGTCTGGACCACCGGGCCCGGCGTCACGTCCGCCTACAGAGCCGCCCTGCCCATGCACGAAATGCAAGGAGCAGGCTCGAGCACAGAACGCCCAGAATCAAGCGCCCGGAGTGCAAAATGGTCGACCATCGGGCATGAGCGCTAGGCCGATGCCATATTCAAATCAAGGCGGCCCTTACCAAGGATCGAGTCCGAGACCAGGACAGAGAATGGGTCCTCAATGTCTGTGTGGTATTGGAATGGGTCCGGGAATGGGGCAGGGCATGGGTCCGAGAATGGGACCAGGAATGCAGCCAGGAAGGGGCTCAATGCGAGGCCCAGGAATGGGACCACGAATGGATTCGCGAAGAGGTTCAGGGATAGGCTCAGGGAGGGGCTCAGGAATGGGACAGGGAATGGGTCCAGAAAATTGGCAAGGAATGGATCCGAGAAGAGGCTCAGGGAGAGGCTCAGGAATGGGACAAGGAATGAGTCCAGAAAATTGGCAAGGAATGGAACCAGGGATGGGTGCAAAAAATTGGCAAGGAATGGAACCAGGAATGGAGCCAGGAATGAGTTCAGATAATTGGCAAGGAATGGATCCGGGTATGGGCCCTGACAATTGGCAAGGAATGGATGGAGAAATGGGTCCAGATAATTGGCAAGGAATGGAGCCAGGAATGGATCCAGGAATGGGTTCAGATAATTGGCAAGGAATGGATCCAGGAATGGGTGCAGAAAATTGGCAAGGAATGGAACCAGGAATGGATCCAGGAATGGGTTCAGATAATTGGCAAGGAATGGATCCAGGTATGGGCCCTGACAATTGGCAAGGAATGGATGGAAGAATGGGTCCAGAAAATGGGCAAGGAATGGATTCAGGAATGGGCCCTGAAAATTGGCAAGGGATGGAGCCAGGAATGGAAACAGACTATTGGCAAGGAAATGAGCCAGGAATGGGTCCAGACAATTGGCCAGAAACAGATCCAGGAATAGGTCCAGAAAATTGGCAGGGAATGGAGCCAGGAATGGAAACAGACTATTGGCAAGGAATGGATCCAGGAATCGGTTCTGGCAGGGGATCAGGAGTGGGGTCTGGCAGGGGATTAGGAGTAGGGTCTGGCAGGGGATCAGGAGTGGGTCAAGCAAATTGGCAAGGAATGGTGGGACCAGAAGGTGAACAGGATTATGGGTATGGGGCCGGACCGGGTATGGATATGGGCTATGACCAGTATCAACCGGCATCCCGTAGAGGCAGCGAGATGTGTCGATGCGTTGGCTCCCAAGGCAACGACCCTGCACAGGAAGGAAAACCTGGCGCTGTGGCATTCGGTGTTATGAGCTTTGGACGCAAATCTAGCTTGAATGAGCATGTGGTCGGACGTGATGATGCTCAAATACCAAGGACTGCTTGCAGCGTGGACTATAGCCAATATGGTACCAGCGGACCCGTTGCCGAAGGCTTAATGCGTGGACGCGACACGCTCGGACTGCCGGTCCACCTGCAAGGCAACAAGGGCCTCCTGAACGCCGTCAATCGCAGCACCTGCAGCGATCATTTGGCCTGCGACGAGCTATGCGGCATCAATACCGACTGCTTTGCGGGTTGCAAAAAGTATTTGGGCAGTCGCGCCAGCAGCAGCAATCAGGTATCCGGCGGCGTTCGCATTTGCAACAACGACTTCATCAATGCTATCGCCACGTTTCTCATGGAGGTGCTGGCCATATTAGTGTAAGTGTAATCTCTCAGTTTTTATACCCTCAACTCATCCGTCTGTCTGTCCGCCCATCCGCCTGTCCGCTTATCCGCCTATCTGTCTGTTTACAGACAGACAGATTACACGATCGGTTTTGGATGAATATACGCAAGGGGAGCTACAATATCGATAAATATCGATTTTTGCAATTGGCTTTTTAAGCTTTTTAAGACACGATCGGTCTCGGATAAATATATCTCGTTTACCATACGCAAGGCGAGCTAAGCCTCTTGCTATCTTTATAATATCGATAAATATCGATTTTTGCAATTGGCATTTTAAGCATAGCTTGAAAATTACAAGAGCCAGATATACATAACTTGAAGTGCAGGTATACGCTAATTATTGATGAATAGATAATCGATAACTTGCCCCGTTTCGATGAAATCGATTTATTTCGATTTTTTTGTCTAGAAGCTAGAATATTTGTAGGAGCAACTCGGATTAAGGGTATCTGCTAGTCTCCTAATTTGTTGTTTACTTGACAGCTTTTTTGCCATTTGCACGTTCACGTTTTGGATAACGCTGGGCTACTATATAGTCCAGCTGATGGTGGATCTGAAGAACGCCGATCGGAATGTGCACGTGGCCGTGGGCACTGTGTTCGGCCTGCTGGTCCTTGCCTTTGCCATAACGCTGGCCACGCACAGCGGTGGACCCTGCTACAATCGTGCTCATGCCATCAGCAGGAGCATCTCGGCGACCGCCTCCGGCAGTATAGCCAGCTGCCAGAAGTGCAACCAGGCGGTGATGGCCAGCGCCAAAAGGGTCTGCGCCGGCAAATGCAAAGTGAGTGGCAAACCGAAGCCAATGCCAAAGGCGAAGGTGAAGGCAAAGTCTTACTCGTCGCCATCATGCTCAGTGGCCAAGGTCAAGCCCCAGCACAAGTCCGCCGCCAGCAGGTCCAGAGGTAAATACACGGATTGCCAGGGCCGCAAGATCTTTGATAGGTCACGTCGCAACGCCGTCCTGACGGAAATGAAGCAGCCGCCCACGTGGCTCCTCTGGCTGCGCGACAGCGCTAACAGTATTTTTTGTCGAGGATAAATAGTTACGTACCGGATCAACAATTCGCTCGCACAAAATTTAACGTTTGACATTCTGATATTAACTAGAAACCGTATAAATAAAGCAATTACCATAGTCTAAACAGTTTATAAACTTGAGCTTGATTCTTTGGGCGGTTGGTCGAAATGTAACTACAAATAGGGGTACGCTTGGGTAATACAGTGAAAACTCGCCTAACGAACACGCCCACCAGGTGGACACACCCCTTGAGCATTGGCTTTCAGACAAGGCTAAATCAGCTTCAACTACAGACTTAATTTTAACTTGGCACTGACTTAGATGGACCTTTGGCTACAGCCAGTCCTCAGATTTGGACCGAATACCTTGTTTTAAGCTGCCTGGACTGCATTTAATCTAAAAATAATGCTTAGGTTCGATTGTCATCGGAATTCGCTTCCGGCTGATCTTGATTAAAGTACTTACTGTTTGTGCGCATAAGTCGCAGCAGCTCGCTGATCATCCACGTGGCCGAAGCGGGTCCAATCCAGGCCAGACCCTGGGCGCCAGCCTCTATGAACACGGCATTGGCACGCCCGGAGCGACGCTTGTGCTTGAGCCGCTTATGGCTGGCGGCAGCAGCGGCGCTGGCCGCAGCGGCCATCTGCTTGGACTCGATCTTGACCACGATCAGCGGTCGACCCTCGAAGGAGCGTCCGATGTGTATCAGCTCGACGAGCTGCGTGTGCCGCATGCGCATCGCTTCCAGATAGCGGAGTATGTCGTCGTATTCGTAGTACTTGTTCCAGGTCAGGGGCGGCGGCGTCGGTGGCTGTTTGATGGGTCGCTTAGTCGCCGCGGGCGTCGTGTACAGATAGTAATCCTTGTTGCGCTCATAGGCAATGGCCTTGCCCACATCGAAGATGAGCACCTCGTGAGCAATGCCCTCGAAGTTGAGCGTGCCCTGAAAGTCGACCAGCATCTTGGGCGGCACCAGCACATCGGTGAGGCCTCTGCAAGTGAGTGGATCGAATGGATTGGGCATTGGATTTGGCCATGTGAACATACCTAAGACTGGGCCCCTTTAACCACTGCAGCTTGTTGCCGTCCTCGCTCGACTTGAACTCCTCCAAAGCGCGCACCTGCGGCTCATCCTGCGGCTTCAGTCGCCAGATCTGATACTTGTCATAGCTGATGCGTCGCGGCAGCTCCGGCTTGGCGCTCGTCGTGCTGCTCACACCTGTGACCAGCGCCTCCTGCAGCGGGTTTTTGGTGGTGCCAGCGACACCCCCGCCGGTCGCATTCACTATGTGATGCGCCAATATGCCAATCCAATTTTGCGGATTGCGCAACGGATCCACAATGGTCAATATGGGCACCTGGGGCGTCGGCATTGTTGTTGTCGTTGTGGTCGTCGTTGTTGTTGTTTTGCGGCGACGCTTGGACGTGCCATCAAACCAGCCGGCGAACCACTCTGCAAGAGCAGCAAATGGGACGGGCAGATTAAAAGAGAGCAGAGGCGAGTGCTCACAGACCAAGAGGGTTAAACTAGTTAAGTGCTCAGGCTGTGCAGAAAGCGTGAATCTAACGCATATAGCGAAGACAGCAGAAGCTTCTGGTGCCGCCGTTAGATCTGGGAGCGGGTCAGTGTGCCGTCTGCCGCAACGCATCAGCCGGAGCAACAATATTTCTACTTTAATACGTGGGTAGCTCGATAAGTTCCGGAGAACCGCAACAAATTCAATTGCCATCAGGGCTAAAAGCTCAAGGAAACAAAGAATTATCGGTTTACGGTTCGAGCCAGGTAACTGCCTTTAGTTTTTTTAAGACATTGGAAGAATGTAAAATTTATTGGATTTTTGTCAGAGGGAGTTCTGGCGGATTTCTAAGACGCGGATCTTTTGTATTATTTATTATAACGCACCTCCACACGTGCATTAATTTCTTCAGTTTTACCATAATGTTTATATATTTTCTAGATCTGTCCGATAAGCCGATTCGATGTGAGCGCATAATTCCTTGGAGCTGTAAAATCTAGAGGCTTCCAATCCGAAATGTGAGCTCTCGTATAATTGATTTTCGAGAACAATCATTTAAATCGAGAAATCTCTATAAAAAAAACTGCACAAGCTAAACTTGTAGCTAATTTTTTATTTTTCTCGATATTTGTAGATATTTCCATAATATCGATAAATATCGATTTTGAAACAAGTTTTTTTTTAAAGTTAGCTAGAAAGTGTTAGAGTTTGATACACCAAATGTTATATTTTATGTTTAATATATTATTAATAATTTATTAAGCAATAATTCCCTTTTTGGATACTTCGTACATCCCTGGAAAAAATACCTGATTTTTAGCGTATTTCCTTGCCCTTTGACTTGGAAACGCATTTAAATGTCATGTGAAAGCCCTCGAAATTACTTAAGCATCAGAGAACAACCGAATGCATTATGCTTAGTGTGGGGTTAGGGGAAGAAGAAGCACAGCCTGAGTGGGATTGAATGTATGTGAGCTGATTACAGGGTATCTCTCGACTAGAACATTCTGTGAATGATCTTCAGCTCCAGTTGCCACGCTTTCGTAAGTTCGTATATCATGAAAAGGGGACCACACGATACTCACTGTCATAGTCAGTCTCCTCGCTGGACGCCTCCGTTGTTGTCTTGCCAAATCCGAACCAGGACTCCAGCCACCCGGCTGGCTCTGTGGGCGTTGGGGCAGGCGTTGGCAGAGGCAGCGGCGCCGCGGGCATGGCTGTGGTGCTGCCAATCTTTTTGGTGCGACGGCGCAGGCCAAACCAAGAACCAAACCAGCTGCCGAGCGAGCCGCCGTCATCGTCCTCCTCATCCTCATCCTCATCCGCGTAGCTGTCGTCGGGCAGCGAGTTGTGGCTGTGGGCGCTGTGATAGAGCGTATAGCTGGGATATTTGGGCTTCGTTGTAGCCGAGGACACACTTTCGTCCTCGTCCGTTTGGCCCGTAATACCGTCAAAGATGCGCGACATTGCCACCTGCACCGGATAGAATATCATGCGAAAGAAGCTGCCAATGCCTGAATCCGTTATCGAATCAGAGTCCGCGTCCAAATCGTTCTCCACATCCTCATCATCAACATCATCGTCATCATAGTAATCATCGGAACTGGGACCGGGCGGACGGCGTCTGATGCGCTTTTTGCTCATGCTGTTTTTATTGCTGTCGAGCTTCTCCTCGCTTGTCTCCGACTGCAGCTGCTCCTCATCGAAGGCCAGCTCTGTAGCTGGCTCTGTGGTGCTGGTGGTGGTGGTTTTGGGTTTGGTGGTAGTGGTGCTCCTGGTGGTGGTGCTTTTTATAATGCTTGGCAGCTCTTCCTCCATTGCACCGAAGTCGGCGCCTTCCTCCGCCGAGCTGCTGTTTTGTTCCTGCGTCGGCTTCTCGCTGCTGCTGCTGCTGCTGTGTTTATTGATTGCAATATGCTCGTTGGCGTCTTGCTCGTAGTAGGAGTCATCCGTGTCCTCGTAATCATCGCCAGTCAACAGCTCAAATATATCAAGAATCCCCTCAGCGCTGTGCTTTCTGCCCTCCCGCTCAGCACGCTCGTCGCTCCCATTGTGCCGGGCATGAAGCAGGTGGACGGCGTGTGGTACACGGTAGCCGCTGCCTCCAGTCGCGGGATTGGCTGGCAACGAGGGCGTATCGGGACGTTTGCGGCTGTTACCGCTGGTACTTGGTCGACGCCGACCGTTGCTGCTGCCGCTGGGCCTGGGCCGGGGCCGGCCACTGCTGACAGGTCGGGCGCCCGCCGATGTGCTGGGTAGGGCATCCACAGAGCGGCGCCTCAAACGATGTGGTAGCTCAATATAGCCGCTGGAGATGGCGATGGGCTTGTCGCTGAAGATGGTGCCGCTGCTGCTGGCGGCTGCCAGTGCGGCTGTGGGCAGTGGCATGTGCGGCTTCTCCAGCTGTGTGGCCGGAGGTGCGGCTATTGATCCTGGCCTGCTGGTCGTGCGTTTGCCCAGCACAATCTGTGGCCCTGTTGTTGTTGTCGTCAACTTGTGTCCCGGTCGATGTTTTTGCGTTTTCTTCTTCTTCTTCCGCTTATTCCGCTTGGGCTTTTGGGTTTTGCCGGGTGTGGGACGAGGCCGAGGCTTGGTCGTGGTCGTGGTTGTGGGCAGCTTGAGCAGCTGATCGCTAATGCTGCCCGTCGTGCCGCTGGCCACCATTATGGGAGGCGGTCTAGGCGGCAGCTTGTTATTGCCGGCGGCTGTGTTTGGGGAACTTGGAACTGTCGACTTTTTGGGGGGCTTCTGCAGGCGTATGATCTGCGGACGCGCTGTGCCCAGAGCAGGCGGCTTAAAGCTGGATGTGGACAACACTGACTGGGACTGGGACTGAGACTGGGACGGGGCGGCGCACTGTTTCTCGTAGCGCTGATGCAGCGCCAGCAAATCGGCATCATACTGGGCCTTGGTCACATAGATGTCAATGGCATCTGTGTCGCTGCCATTGCCGGGCCACGTCTGCGACTTGGTGTTCCGACCCACTTCGCTAATGGCATACACAATGCCCGTGGCGGGATTGGTAAAGAAGATGGGAAACTTGCTGCCGCCGTTGCTGCTGCTGCTGTTTCCAGATGTTGCTGCTGCTCCCGCTGCTGGAACATCGCTAATCTCTATCAGTTCGCTCTGGACATGCTGCTCTGGCTGTGGCTCGAGTGGTGCGACAGACTCATACACATACGGCTGCTGTGCCTGCTGCTCCTGATCGTCGCTGAACAGCTGAAAGTCCAATTCGGCTTTGGGTGGTGCCTGCTCCGGATAGGTGTAGCGGGGCACATAGTTCTCGCGGCGCCGCTCATTGGCCAGCAAATCGCGCGTCCAGGTGCGCGTCTCCCGCAGCAGACTGTCAAACTCTTCGGCGCTGGGATGATAGCCAAAGTCATAGGCCGCACACGACAGACCCGACGGACCCGACAGACCCGACAGACCCGACAGACTGGCCAGCAGCAGGCGCAGCATTAGAAGCTTTACGACTATGTGGAAGGCAGGCATTTTATACATAGATGTGGCCGGCAAACGGCAACGGGAACGGGACGAGCTGACGGCGACGTCGGTGGCAACCGGCAAACCAGCAATTCAGCTAACGAACAAGCGAGTGGCAACTGGATTTGTTGTCCACAAATTCTTGGAATGAACGCGTACGCGACCGTTTGGCTGCGAGTCTCGTGTACAAATGAAACAACGACCCAGCAGAGACCCAAAACACAAGCGGATCCAGCACCTCCACCACCACCGCCGAACCGCCGAACCGCCGACCCGCTGTCACAGCAATGCGCCACTTGCAGGAGAAACTCAAATCCCCCCCAGCCGATATGAGAGTTTCGACTGCTTGACTTTTGCCCGTAACGTTTGAGTGAAGATGTCGCTCACGGTTTATACTAAGTATATTCGGCCGCCGCCTTCCCCTTACCGCCCCCACGCATCCAATGTTCTGGGCACCTTGTCAACGTTGTGGCTGTCGTTTAGTTGCCCTGCGTCGAATCATCGAAGCATTGCAAATTGTCGATCTAATCACAGATGAGAATCAACGATCCCACTGCACAGTGGTGCAAAAGTTATGGCATGTATGGTTATGCCCGACTCGACCAAAAAATCAAAAAGTATCCCATTATTTATTTTATTATTCATGTGAATTATTTTTTTTATCAGCTTATTTTTTTTTTTGCTGGTTCCAATGTTCCGGAGCAAAAGCTTAGCAAATATTTCCTATATTATATTTAGATGTAGATTTTTCAAAAGCAAACTAACGGTTGAATCTCTAGATACGTATTCCTCCGTAATATATTTTTAGATATGCCCCTATATATATACTTATATAATGCTAAGTACTCAGAACCTGAGAGCCCGTCAATATAAGCGTATGTAATCAAAAAGTTTTTAATCTTATATTTGGCAAGCTATTCATGCATAAATTGGGGCGTTGCCTGACATAGGACAGTCATTTCCTGTTCTTACAATTACAACTCAATTAATTGCATAAAATTCGTTGGATCTGCTCACGTATTAAATAGTATAATCAATATAATAGGTGCCAAAGTGCAAATTTATGATAACTGGTGAGGTAATCACTTTATTTGAAAGCAAAGCAAGCGAAATGCAACGAAACATTCGACAGTTAGGCGCAGCCACCTTAACTAGTAACAAGTGTTCAGACGCAGCCAACTTAGCTTGCTCAGTATATTTAAAGGCGCAGCCAACTTAACATGCTCCGTAAAGAGTTAAAGGCTTTGATAATGAAACTTTGTATATTTTTTATTATTTGATAATGAAACTGAAGAATCAAATGATGTGTTTAAAGTCTGAGGAAATGTGAGCTGTACGGGATAGACCTGGATACCTTTATAGAGTTCTTTTCTCGTTGTATTTATTTATTTTTACCTTATTTTTAGCTGAAGTAATATAGCAGGTGTCTTCGAATTCAAAAAGTGGGTACAGTCTTCGAAAAAAAACTCTCTTGTTATTTCTATATTTAGTCAGTCTCGTGAATACATAATGTTTTAGGGCCCTGTCGATTGGAACAGATACTTTGATAAGCTTTAACTAAGCTCACCCATGACAACAACAAGAAAATATTAAATGTAAATTTGTTTCCCACAAACATGAACTGTGACATGGACTAGTGCTTGTGGTTTTCGTACCATTGTGCAATGAGTTGTTCGTCTTCTATTAAATGCGCATGCGCAACGGGCAGTTACAGATTTGCTTGGCTTGCACTTTCTGCTTGGTGCTTAGCGAGTTCTACTTTTCGGATTCATACGCATCCCAGAAACTGGACTCGATCTGTGTCTGCAATAAACGCGGCCAAGGTATTTAAAGTGACAGTTTAGGCTAGCGAGGTGACCCCAAATGGACGGAGCACAGGATACGGCCAGCCATGTCCAGAGACTGGTTGGACTTGTCCATGTCCAACGCCGGTCGCATCGTCCGCCCAGTTGGATGCAGTTTATGCGATCTCCAGTCCCCAACAAACAAAGCCAGACACGCAAGGCGGATTTATTCAATCTCTGGCATCTTAATGGAGCACTGACTTCTTTTCGTAAACATATTTACCGAATCAAGATCTTTCACTTTCTACACATTCATTCTACTGTTGAAATTGCCGCCCTCGGCGTTGGCCTTTGACTTTCGCCGTTGAACCAGACCCCCTCCCCCCTCCCCCCCCTTCCTTATATTCCTTCCTTGGCCTTACTTTAGAAAACGCCGCCAAAGAAGTTGCTGTCACCAGAAAGCAACAACTAAAAAACAACAGTAAATAAATAGTATGACAACTATAACAATATGTACCAACAAGTTTATACACTGTATTTTATTTACTCGAGCGTCACTAAAAAACGTTTAAGTCAACGGCAATCCCAAGCACACATGCTTAGAGATGGACGCGTCGCGAGATTTGTTTCTTCAAACACGAGAATCACAAATTTTAGGCACGATAATTTTTGCACTATAAAGAAAGTCGATTTATTTTATTAGCTTTTTATGCGTAAGACTTTATTTATTGTATTATTTTCTTAAATTAAATTATGCATAATACATATTCAGAGCTCTGAATAACTTGCATTTATACTGAAAGAATAGAGAGGGCCTCAATGTGTTTCGACTTTTTTAATAGATTATTTTCTTAAAAATCTACAGGCTTAAAAGTAAAACTCAAGAATTTCTTTGTACGTTATATGGCATATATATATATATATTTCAAACCTCAAATTGATAATTATTGGCGAACTTAACTTATCTTTCTATCCTCACAATTTGCCAACCTATTATAACTTCATCTTTAAAAAGCACATTTTTAGTGAGAATTGAATTATATTCATATAAATTTTTAATTCCAATATACTTTTTGGGATGCCATTAACGTATGCTACTCATAAAATTTAAGTCAATTATTTAAATATATTTCTAATAGAAAATAAATAATAAAAAATAAGAATAATATAATTTTTGGAGTTCCTCTCAGACCATATTGCTTAGTTATCGTGTCAAGATATTTAGACATTAAGTGTCGTGCTCGTGTCACGCGCACATTTCTTAAAGAGAACGAAAGCCGAAGCCAAAGTCTGAAGAAGCAGTGTGAAATGGATAGTAAGTAGATAGTTAGCGTAGCGTACATACACATGTATGTGTGTGTGTGTATATACGGGTGAGCAGCAGTTAATAATAATAATACAAGTACTTACATATATATATATATATATATATATATAGTATATCATACATAGCAATGTTTATAGACAATAGCGAAAAGCAACACATTTTAATTGCATGTTTTCTTTTTAGGCCCCAAACAGAAGGAGGCCAGATTGCCAACTGTCGTAATTAAATACATATATACAAGCATATTTTAAATATATATTTATATATAATAAAATATATATATATATATATATTTATATATAGTTACACAAATAATTCTCATGATTATCAGCCAAGAGCAAAATGTGCGCACGAGCACCACTTGAAATTCGGTTCAGTCAATATTAACTGCACTTTTATATTATACGAGAATATACATACATATGTATGCATGCATGTATGTATTATGTATGTACGTATTTATGTATGTGTGTAAGTATGTACTGTCGTAATAATAAAATACAAACAGACACTACTTGAAAAGTGTGTCTCCTCCATAGCAAGTGAAATTATTCCTCTTCCAATTCCGCATATTGTACACCCTGCACCCAAAAAAATGTTCAAAAGGGTATTATTAGTTATACACATTGAAGGCCATCAGTTCTATCATATAGAGCAAAAGTCCTTCATAGTTTCAAATATTCATATTTATATACATATTTCTTTGCCTGTAGCATCCAGCTCAGTTCATATACATAACTTTTAGTTCTTGCCTGTTACAGGGTATTTCATGGTCACATTCTTTAGACGAAAGAACTGGTCCGCTTTAGTGTATTTCTTCATATGTTATTTTGAAGATTGGCGGTTACGTCAATTTCACTTTTCACTCGAAAGAATAAAACATTAATTAACCAGTGCTGAAGTCTACCAAAAGCATAACGATTTCTTACTACCCTACACACAATATATAAATAAATACATAAATACATGGTAATGCTTCACTTTTTGTATGTACGTTCGTATGTGTGTCTGCATACTTGTATGTATACATGCAAGAATGTATGTACATATGTATGCATGCATGTATGTATGCATATATGCGTGTTCTGTTATGCATTCTAAACGCTGGCCAAATCAACTAGCTCCTGCGCTATAAATTAAAACATAACGTTTTATGAAATACCGCTTTACTCCTCGATTCTCATAATTTCAAGTAGGCTTGCAGGTTTACATGCATTTATCATAAGTGTTGTGTTAACAAGTGCTAGTGACAATTTAGTAAGTCTTATATTATGTTTGTATATGTATGTATGTTTGTATGTATGTATGTATGTATGCATGTATGCATGTATGTATGTATGTGTGTATGTATGTTTGTATGTATGCATGCATGTATCTTCCTTTATGCCAATTGCAAAGTTTCTCGCTGCGGTGCCAATTTAAGTGAAACGTATTTTAAATATCGCTCTACTCCTCAATTCTCATAAATTCAAGTAAGGCTGGACTTGTTATAAGTTTTGCGTTTACAAGTGCCAGTGACAATATTATGAGTTATATATTTTTATGTTTATGTGAATGTATGTATTTATGATATATGTATGTGTATACGTTGTATATATGTATGCAAATGTGTATGTATGTGTATGCATGTTTATTTTATGTTTGTATATGTAAATGAGCATGTGTAACACACTTGTATTTTTACGTATATTTGTATGTATGTATGTATATAGGTATGTAGACATGCATATATATTGGGTATATGTAAGTTTGTATGTATGTAGGTCCGTTCTGGCGTCATTCTAACTTATTTTATTAATGTATTTAAGTTTGCACAATGTATGTATGCATATACATATATGCTTTTCCAATTTACTTCTCTCTCTCTCTCTCTCTCTCTCTCTCTCTTCTGCTGTTATTCTAACTCGCTCTCATCTTTTTTTCCTATTTCAGTGATGTTCCTACATAAAGGACTTTCTCCTCACGCTCTTATTATATGGCAATGAAATAATCGTGCGAAGTACATTTATATTTATAAATACATACATGTTCATGTTTATATATAAATTTGATTGTAAGTTAAGGCAATACAGAGCCATGGTTGTTTTTGTCCCATAAAATGATCGAAAGTCTTGGAAAGAGATCGCTTAAGCTTTACTAATCGCCAATTCTCAAACGAAGGTCAGGTAGAGTGGTACGTCAATGGGTAGTCCTCCAGCAGAGCTGCGCGGAGGGGGAGGGGCTGTGGGCGAAGCTACCGCAATTTGTCTGTTCACATCCAATTAAACTGTAAACTGTGTGTATAGGAGACGTCAATCTCATATGCCATTGTCAGATACTACAACAACACATTGTGTGCGGTTGTAGTTGTAGTTGTAGTTCTGTGTGTGTCGGCAAATAGCCATGGAATGGGCAATTCTTCAAAAGGCGGGCGGCGTTTGTATTAAGAATAAAACGAAAATAAAATATAAATGAAACGGTTTATGAAAAGGTTCACATAACGTTGACGCAACGAACTGCGAATACCCTGGCAACAGCAGTGGGACACATGCTCAAGAATTCGGAAAGAAAAGAAACTTGGCTTTTTGTTATTGCATGTCAAGTGCTTTCAGTCATTCGATCATTTGTCTTCAACGTGAATACTTGAGAGTGTGTTTGAAGTGCTGCCAATTTGTGCTGTTGTTTTGCTTGTTTACTTAGAAAAACTATATTACTGTCAAAAATACCCTGTAACAAACCTGATAATACATACACAAATCGAGGGAATACAAGAAATGAAGGCAAATTGTCGATTATACGAGCGGTTCGGCTCCCTAGAGGTACTTGCATTTTTTTTTTTAAATAATTCGGATTCCTGGAATTCCTTTAGTTGTTTATTTTACGGCTGAAACAACTAACAATTCATAATTGTAATATGATATATGGAAAATATAATTAATTTTATATTTAGGAATGTTTAAAAATGGAACAAACGAATGTAAAAAGTTCTCAAAATTATGAACAAATCAGTCAGGTCGCCAAATTTAGGCAAATAAAAGGGGGAATTTATTTAAAAATTAATACAAATTTGTAATAATAACAATAATAATATCATAATCAATTTTCATTAATTTATCAAAGCTAATATTATTTTCAATTTTCCCCCATTTTACAATATATGTGTAGATGATTTTTGCCTCATAACGTACTCGAATGTTGAAAGCTTCGTCTTTTTATCGACTTAAAGATTGTTGCAGCAAGCACTGATACCCTACATGGCGACAAATTGCGGTAGATGTACATATACCCTCAATGTTGTCTAGGGCAATTGCGACCACAACAACCGTTTCCCCCAGCTGATGCCCTGCCTGAGTGACAACCTGTTGGACAGGCGCTCAATTGGCCGCTCGACACGAAGATGCCCAAGCGCTGGGTTGGCGGCTGTTGCGGGCTGTGGGTGTACAAAAAAAAAAAAAAATACACATACATATATATATATATATATGTGTGTACACATGTATATATAGAAAATAAAACCGGTTGGACATTAGAACCGAATCCGTTGGGCACAACGCAATGTAAAATGCTTTCCACGACGTCACACATATTTTTGTAATGAGCCACGGAGGCGGCAGATGCTGGCCAGGGTCGTTTGGCCAGAAGAGGAGAGTGTAGCAGGGTGGTAGGGGGGAAGCGGGGAGATAGGCAAACGAGAGGCAACAACAGCAGCGGCAGCAGCAGCGGCATCAGCGCAAAGTGTCAAATGCCGAAGGCAGGCAACGGCAGCAGCAACAAAAACAACAGCAACAGCAGCGACAGCGCAGTCAGCGTCAGCAGCGGCGTCAGCGCCAATGAGAGACGGCAGCGGCTACGGCCCGGCCCGGCCCGTCAGTCTTGATGATTTCGTGAAGCGATTAACACACGCTACGTTCTGAGCCATTAGTCCGGATCGCAACCGTTAAGGCAAATGCATCCGTATCCGTACGGCAGGAGCAACGACAACAACAACGACAACAACAACGATACATGACACAGTTTAGCAAAATTGGGCTAAAGAAGAAGCAGCTGCAAAGCATCAAGACAACAACGAACAACAAGCCGAAAGCAAGCGCCAATAAAAATAAATCATTAAAAAACCCGCCAAAGAATTTGCCAAATTACGCGTCCATTTATTTGCCAGATCGTCTCGTGCATTGACCGAGATCTCTCAGCAACAACAACAACAACAACAACAACAACAACAACAACAACAGCAACAACAACAGCAGCTGCCAAAATGGATGCAGAGGTGTGTAGAGTGTGTGTTTATAGTAGAATGCATATGTGTTCCCGTCCGTGCTTAGTATGTCAACTAAAGAACAAATTAAAAAGTGTGTGCTAAAAAGAGGATGTTTTAGAACAAACGTCAAAAACTGAACTAAACTCTAGCAAGTTTGTGTGCCCATTTGTTATTCAATTTTTTGCTTTTTTTATTATTATTTTTTTATTGTTGTTTCTCGCACGTTAATTATTATCTGAGTACGCCGCAAAACCAGTTACATTTGCCGCTCTCAGACAGATATAAATAAAAAAAAATGAAAAATTAACTTCGTTTTCATTTTCCAAATGCAAATTCAAATCAAAGTCAGCAACAACAACAACAATAACAACAAACAATAACAAACAATAACAACAACATTTAGCAGTACTCACCGCGACGCAGCTGCTGCACATGACAGCAGAGGCGGCCCAAAGGGGGTGGGTCTATTGGGGCTCAGATACATTGCAGAGTTACAAACTGAAGATACTCTTTAGGATTGTCTAAAGAGCACTCTAGACACTTAGATAGATATGACAAGTACGATGCCAAGACTTTCAATTTCCCACTATTAATACAGTTCGGATAGAAATGGCTTACTTTCGAAATGGCACTGCCTTATATGGCCTGCCTGTAAGAGATTGCCACAGCCATGTACTATAGGCCGGGTATTCGAGCCCGGAGCGTTGGACAGCGAGAAATCTTTCACCCAAAAATATATATATACGAAAATCCCAAAATAAAGATTTGATTTCATACAAATATACTATAGTATAGTATTGTATTTGAGTACCTCATTTATTTATATTTTGTATATACAAATTCAGAATACTTTCTTACTCACGTTGTTTATATAATAATTAACTGAATATTATTTTGGTAGGAGCCAAGTTAATTGGAACTTAAATTTTGATTGATGTTATCTGATTTCAGTTTCAGACCAAAAACTTTCCGTTTGAATTGAAAAAGTTAACTTATTCTATTCCCCATATATTAAACAATAGTTAAAAGCTAACTAAAGTCTTGGCATTATCATTTTTGCTACCCTTTTAAGACTTTTAAGCTCATGCTTTCACTCGGAAAAAAATCGAATTGCATTATCTTATCTTCTACAATTGGACTTCCTTGGCTTCTTGCATTTCCTTATCTTCTTTCTGAACAACTTGTCATTTGTAACAAAAGGTGTTTGCAAGCTATGCTGAGTGCTGCCCATTTTGGAATCCAAATTGGCAGCACTCTCTTCTGCAAGATTTAACTGCTACATTTTAGCAAGCGAGATAAGCAACTGTCTGTCATTCGGACCGCATAATAAATGAATTGTTGAGCGCAAATACAGTTAAGATAATAATATTAATTTTATAACTTGTTCAATTAGTCTCTTTCATTCACAATCTGTGTTGTTGTGTACGCAATTTTGTTGTCAGATTCCCAACAAACAGTTACTAATATTTACCAAGAAGATAGCAGAGCTACCCCTGCACAAACCCATGCCCATGGATATGCCCATTGCAGAGGCAGGCATTGGACCCAGCATAGGCCAGTGGAAAAACTTGCCGTGCATGGAAAATTTCCACGCAAAGACATTGAATTGACTTGATACCAGGCGTCTGCCAACTCGTGAATAACAAATATACTACAGCATTTATCACTTGATCGAGGTACCGAGCCAACAATTATAGTGTATATAATGCATAATAGTGTGCAGAGAAGTGCGTGGGTGAATTATACGTAAGATTGGCTGCTATGGCGCTTATCACGGCGTAATTTTCCTTAGCATAGTTAGACCCAACAGACGTTTCGTGGCACCTGACGTCAGGCTTCCTGTTAGGCTCTCAAAGACAACAACAACAGTAGTATAACAACAATTGATGCCGTGAGTTTTTGAGTGCTTTTGAGTAGCTGCCGATAAGCGTCATGAATTTGCTGACTGGATTTACACAAGGTGGCTCGTAAAGCCAAGAGACCCAGTTTTCAACCTCGCACCAAATTGCCCCCCCCCCCCCCCCCCCCTTCGTTGACTCTTCCAGCTGCGCAATCTCTGGGCCCACTTGAGCGTATCATCCACATTATCGGCGCCAAGATCCTCAGCCCCCGCCCCAGCTCAACTAACTTGTGCCTCAATTGTGTACAACACGTTGTGGCTAATCTTTGAGTATGACATTTAATTTCAAATAATTCACTTATAATTCTATAAATTTATCAATGATTTTCATTTATTTATTGGTCCTGGCCTGACTTTCACAATTTATGGGCGCATCTTAAAATGTGCTTGCACAAAATTTAAAATTTCCGCTGTCGAAGCAGTTGATAGCAGTTCCTTTTTAATAATTATAATACCATATCATCCAAAAATTGAGCATAAATATATGAATTGCCAGAGTTTTTGGTAGAGTCTTGGCCAATTATTAAATCTAATCAGCTGCAGCTAATAGGTGTATGCTTTATTTATTAATCATTTCTATGAAATCAACAAATAAACGTTCTAGTTTATTACCCTGATCTTATCTTTTGTTGTATTTTGGCATCATAAACACTTATTTTGAATAGTCTATAATTTATATGATTAAACACGTGTTCATATATATCTGGAGTGTAGCCAAACTTCTGTTGGCAAAGTGCTGCCACATTTTTTCGCATAATTGGCAACACTTTGAATTACCATCAGTTAATAAATTGTGTTTAATTCTTCATTTTTATACCCTGAACCCATTCAAAATGGGTATAAGGGTATATTGTATTTGTGCAAAATCCAAATGTATGTAACAGACAGAAGGAAGCATCTCCGACCCCATAAAGTATATATTCTTGATCAGCATCAATAGCCGAGTCGATCTAGCCATGTCCGTCCGTCCGTATGTATGAACGCAAGGATCTCAGAACCTATAAGAGCTAGAGACTTGAAATTTAAGATGTAGGTGCTCCTAGTTCCCGCGCAGATCGAGTTTGTTTCCGATAATCGATAACTTACTCCGTTTACAAGCAATAAAATAAAAATCGATATCGATATCCTGTTCTTTGGGCAATTTTGGTAAATAATAAGAGCTAGAGTCACCAAACTTGACATATAGCTTCTAAAATGGAATATATATATGCATTTGATGTTGGAAGAAGAGGGTTCAGGGTATCCCCTAGTCGGGAGCTCTCGACTAGAACCTCTTACGTCTGATATATTTAAATTCCAAATCATTAGTTTTTCGCTAAGAAGCACCTGTTTGATTTTGCGAATTGTTTCAATGGGTCTCATTGTTGTTTTAGTTCATTTAAAACAACTTCAAAGTTGTAACTCGTACATTTTGATGCAGCTGTGCAACTAATGGCTAACTAATTAGTATATATATAGGTATATATATTATGTAGATGACCATCGCAAATATAACGCACGTTAAACAATGGAAACTTAATATGAGTACGCCTTTGTTATTATGTAAATAACTGAGTTATTTTTGGACTTTGTTTTGGTTTTAATGAATCCTTCTCTCCCTCTCTCCCTCTCTTGCTTTTATGATCAGGTAAAAACCTCAATGAAATCGAATGCATTAATATTTAGGGTTTGGCAGTCATAAAGGTTGGCAAATTCTCGTAAATCCATTTCTTATCATTTATGATGTCATTTGTTGCGATTAGCGAAAATTACGCGGAGCTGCATCCATATACAAAATCGTGCCAAATATTTCACTCATGACAAGCTTCACTGTAACACAAGTTTTTTTCATTGAGTGAAAATTGCTGCAACCAGGTGATTCCCCCGTGCTGTGATTTATATGCAGCACTTAATAGAATTAATTGCCCAAGTTTTCACGCACTCGACCATAACAAACTGGAATTAATCATTCGGTTCTACTCATGATCCGAATCGCAATTGTTGTTAGATAATGGTTAAACCAAATAGAGATTAATTCATAGATAAAGTTACAATATTTTGCCTTCAATTTGCTTGCAATATGAAGTTCATTTGATAGGAAAATTATTAAAATTATTTTTGTTAGGAAAATAATTCTCCAATAAAATAGAAGCTTTTGTATTAAATATACAAAACATTTTCTAACGAAAACTTATTTATATATTTTTTATATAATTTTTGTTATTGTTTCTTTTGAATTTACAAAATTCCTAAAACCTAATAAGAGGTTCATTATACACAATAAAAAATTCACATAAGATCTAATACTATTTGATTGACTATAAATTAAAAGAAATTAATAATTATTAATATCAACAGCGTATCCTTATGTTTAAGCTCTAATTAACTTGTTATTTAACTAAAAGTCTGTGCTTATGTTTATGTACATAAATATTTGTGCCGTGAGTTGCTTTAAGTGAGGGCCCCAAACCGGAATTGTTTGCCAAAAGTCAGGCAATTGAAGCTCATCAACTGCGCGTTCGTCCCATTCAATTGAACGATTGCCCAACTTAATAAACAGCGATTTACAGCACAGCTTTTATCTTTCTTGAATTCCCGCGCTGCAACAAAAGGCCCCCAACAGCCCGCAGGCCAGAGCTGCATCTGCGCCAAGCACTCCGCAAGCAAACATGAGCTCCAATAATCCAAAGATGACAACGACCGACTCAGAAGAGACAACTGTCCAGGCAGCAGGCGCGACAGCAATTGCAGGCCCAAAGGCGGAGGGGGATTACCACCCGCCCACAAGGTATGGCTACATGGAAACCACAGCCAAGCTAACAAATAATGAACCCCAATGTCCAACTCCAAACTAACAAAATCCCGGATATACCGCATAAGGCTTGCTTAAACACCTTAACATAGACAAACCAACCGCATGAACTGTCATAGTCCGCACCAACTGCCGCAGGATTTATGTGAACTAACTAACAAGCTATAACTCATCCAAAACTATTTATTCTAATAAGAAAATGCTCGGCTCAACAATGGCTCTAGATTTACGCCTTACAGCAATCAAAAACTGCAGCATAACAAAACCCACTACAAAAAAAAAAAAACAATAAAACCCCAATAAAACCCCACTAAAAAC